TAAATAATAATATTTATACTAATAATAAAAATAAAAATTATAGTAGAATTTAGATTTATATACTTATGTAAAATAAATTTATATATAGCCACTGAATATTTAATAAATTAAATGATCGTATGATATTGAATTACATTTAAAGATATTAAAAAAAATAATATTACATCAATGAAAAAATTATATATTTTATTTTTCTTTTTGTCGTTGTTTGCAAATACATAAACAAATATTTGTATTTTAATTTAAATATTATAATTATTACATATATTAAATAACTTTTTCCCATAATTATTTCTCTAATTTAAAAGCTATAAGGACAATGTAAAATATATGATGCTATAATAATTTATTAGATATAGAAAAAAAAAAAAGTAAGTTTCTTCACAAGAATGAGATTATTAAAAAATACACTAAAAGGTCATTATTATTAACATATTTTTCTACTTTTTTGGACAATTTATTTTCATTTTCTTTGTAATGTCCAATGCAACAGTTTATTTTTTTCAATTAATTTTTTAAGTAGTTTTGTAATACTAAATAAACACTTAAGTGAATTATTAGGGTTGAGTTGAGGTTGTATAAAAAAAATCTAAATGCTTAAGTCATTACCATGACTTTATATATATATACATGGCTTAGGATCAACTACCACGTGTATTCCTTCATTTGTTGTCTATCATTTGGTTGAAAATTTGTGTCTTGATTTAACACTATATATCTTTTCCTTATTTTGCGATAATGATACTTTTTTGTGTTGATAAAGAAAAAAATTCTTACAACAATGCAGCATCTAATGAATTTAGTGAAGAGTGAGAAGTAGAGATTGAGAACCAAAACACTATTTTAGCATCACAAAATAATTGATTAGGTATATAATTTTACTTTGTCTTTTTTCTCTTTACATCTATCACCTCTGTATTTTTTCTTCTTTTCGTTTCTTTTACTGCTATGATATTTTATGTTTGATCATTATTTCTGAAGCTTTTCTATATACGTTGTTATATTTTCCTTTTAAAACTATATTATAAATAATTTATACATTTTTAGCTTTTTTTAGCAACAAAAAATTAATGATTCAATTTTAAATTTCTTTTACCAATTCAATTTTAATTTTTTATCTTTAACTTAACCTCTTTTTTTTTTTAACAAAATATAAAAGAAGCCAAATAGTTACAACTTTAGTTCTTATTTATTATTTTGTATATAATTTTCTTAGCACAGTTTAATAAATTTCACATAATTGATTCATCCCATTGATTTTTTTACTCAATTCAATTGCCTAATTATATGTTTATACATATTGATTATATACTTCAATACATATTAATTATTATAAAGAAAATATTATATAAAATAATTAATTGTTTCTATAAAATAAATTTATCTCCATCCTGCTCATTTATAATCAGAACCTCTCTTGAATCTTAAGAGTGGTAAATAATTATTGAGTAGTTTTTTAAAGATGTTTTCTAATCTATATTATATATATATAATAAAGAGGTATAAATCTTTTTTATTAGGTCAATTTTTATAGGATTTTATATCAATATTAAGTTGAAGATTAAACTCTAATTTTTGATTAACGATGATAAATGTTAAATCACTTGTGTTATCAATTTTAATTAATAAAATTATATTTTAAATACCCTCATCATCAACTTCAGAACCTTGCTCAAGATATTTATTTTATCTTCTAAAGTTTTAAAGTTGGTAGTAAAGATTTAAAATTAATTAGAATTGCAATGAAAGAAAAAGTTTCATTTTTTTTTCCATCAAAATAGACCAATGGATTCTGATTGAGTTAGTTGAACAAATGAGTGAGTATTGTAAATTTCTTTTTAAATTAAATTCATTTTTTATTGATAAAAAAAATTGAGCCCTTGAATATCGAATTAGATTCTTGTGAATAAAAAAAGAGTTGGGCATCCGAATACCACCCCTAGCAAGAAATGCATCTTAGTACTAAAATGATGCCCCTTGCCATGGAAGTGGGAAATTAGGTAGGGTTGTGTCCCACTCCAATCAATTTAAAATGGACAATACCAATAAAGAGTTGGGACAGACCAAAACATAGTCTCAAAAATGGAGGGAGGGTCCCAAGACATTTCTTCAACCAAAAGGACACATCTTACCTTACAAAACCACCATAAGAGTTTAAAATGCCCACAATTTTTACTTCTTTTGACACCAATAATAAAAAGCTAACCACATTCTAAACAATAAACTGATCAATATCCTTTTCATTTTGGCAATTGTTGCTGCTGTCCTAAAACGGAAAACATTTACTAATATCTTCAATATACCGATTTATTTGATTCTTTTAACTAATTTAATTAATACCTTGAAATGATTGAATATACTTGTTAACAATTTCTTTTCCTTTTAGAGAAACTTATTTTCTTTATTATAAAAAATATTCTTGGTCAAATACAGAAACAAAAGAAAAAACCAATAACTAATGTTATCATTTATATTAAAATTATATGAAATTTTCTATCCATTTTGTTTTTTATTTTAACATTTCATATTTCATCATTTACCCTCTTTCTAAATAAGGTACAATTAAGAAAATTCTAATTAATATCATCTTTAAATTTATAAATGAAAGGTAAATAAAAATTATTGTGTAAGTGACAAATAAAAAAACAGACAGAGATGGTACATTTTTTGGGTAAAAACAAACTTGCTTATCTGTCATACTTTTAGTCTAATCCAATATATTGGATTTCAAATTTTCAGCATACACAATCAACCAACCAGTCAGCTAAAATAAATATAGAGTTTAAATGGTTAATCTACCAAATCCATGATTTGAAATAGTTCCATAAACATGAGCCAAGAATGATTAATAATATCACTATTAAAAGACTTGAATGTTCTGCTGGAGAAACACTAACATGGAGGCTCTTGGAAAATAACACAAATCTTATTTTAGGTACATACATAGATAGAAATCTCATACTAGAGAGAGTAGGTTTCTAAATTCTAAGCACCCCTCATGTATTAGTACCTGTTTTTGACAGATTCAACCTTAGAGTCACCAATAGTACCCTCATGTGACTTACCAACATTCTGACTTGCTACCCCTTCTTTGGCTTCCTTTGCCTTCTCTTCTGCAACTCTTTGGAATTCTTCAGCCGTGGAAGGTGCTCTCTCTTCCATCAAACGACTACGGTTACCATTGCTTGCTTGTCCATAATTCTGATACGCATGCATTATTCATTCAGTAAACAAATTCTTAAAACTTGAATTTGGACTTAACTCCACAATACTTGGAAAATAAAAGTTGTTCTCCACAGATATCCTCTATTTTGTCCTTAATCCTTCCTTATATCTGATTTAGATGAGATTTGGGTTTTTTATCCCCCAATAAAACTACTTTCTGGTCCTTCTTAACATATTGCTAAGGCATAGTGAAATCAAAATAGTTTTTTAATTTTTATCACTCCTACAGCAAACTCCTTTGAGTCGATTGCACTTTCATGTTAAACAGGCCTTTCTGGGTTTTAAATCAATTCTCAAGCCTGATTTCCACTTTCAAGATCTGGATTATGCAGAAAACTGATAACCTTTTTTTATCCCCATTACATACATGAATTCTTCCTTCTCAGACATGCCAAAAAGCTGAAACTTATATCCAGCCAAAGGCATAATGAAACTGAAAATTATCAAAATTCCACTTTTTATTTGTCAAATTTAATTTTCTAGTGGGGTTATTCTTACAAAAGAATAAAAGATTCCAAAGCAAGTGACTAACATAAAGTAATAACTCTACAGCAAGAGAAGCAAATTGAAGTAGAATAATTTGGTTAAAAAAAAAAAAAAAGAGTTTACAAAAGAAAAAAAGAATTAAAAGGGATACCTTAGTGGTGTTGTTGAAGAATGGCCTACCATTAGCAGGCTTTAGCAAAGAGGATCTTGAAGTGGCATGGAGAAGAGTGTAGAACTGACCTCCAGCCATAGTTCTTCTTCCCTCACTCTATCAGCTGCCACAGAGAGACTAGTTGGTAAGTGAAAATATTGAAACTCTTAAAACACTGGGTTATGGTGTCTGTTTAAATAAATAAAAATACAACAACAAAAGGACAAGATTGCACCTGAACTCAATCCAGATATTCTTGTATTGCCACTTGTTAATGCTAATCCAATAAATCTATCCATCTTTCTCCATCGATGACTCAAATCAATTGCACTTATCACAAAATTTAAGACTAATAATATATTTTGATTAAATTCTAACTTCACTTTAATGATTAGCGTTAATATTCAATACCAATCTTTATTATGTATGTGGGTATATTGAATTTTTCTTTTTTGTTATAATTCAAATATAACATTAAAAAATCTTTGGTGTAAAAAAAAACATTAAAAAATCTATAAATTACTGGGCCTAGATTTTAGACTTGTTCTTACTTCGCATAATTAACTAACAGGGATAGCCGGCAACATTTTGGAAAAACATTGTGTTTAGTTTTTAAATATTACTTTTAACATTGTGTAAAAACAAAAAGTGCAAAAAGAAAAAAATATTACTTTTAACATATGACAGTAGATTTCTCTATTGGGTCATCTCATACGTGATCAATATAACTACCGCTCATGACTAAATAGTATTAAAAAAAGAATTATAAATATATTTTATAGTGTCTTACGTTTACAACCTACCGTTTTCAAAAAGATAAAAAAAATTATATTCTACTATATGATTGTAATTCTTATGAATAATAAAAATGATAGTCATCTACACCCTGATTGCTAAAATGCATTTCTTACTTCAAAATAAAGAAGTTTTTTGTTATTAATTTTATAAATATATTTTAAAATATCAAATTAAAAATAAATATATAAAATTAAAATAGAATAAAAAAAATATCAAAATAATATTTATTGATGTTATCAATATAATATTTTTATAAATATTTAACTAAAATAGTATTTTTATTATATGGTGTTAATTAATATGTATATTAAAGGTAATACATAAGTATTAAGTTAATATTTAATTCATTTTATTAATACAATATTTTTAAAATATTTATCTAAATTGGTATTTTCGGATAAGTATTAATTATTATATTCATTAAATTAATATAATATATTTAACAAGTATAATGTTAAAATATGTACATTAAATATGTACAACGTTTTAAATGATTTTTTTTATCAGTAAGGAATTAGGATTACAATTTTGACACATTAGTTCATTTCCTGATGTTTTTTTTTCTTTCTGGGTTATATTGTCTATATACATGACTATTTTGTAGTATGAACAAAAACTAATTTTCTAGCAGCAACACTGAGTTTAGCTGTTTGAAAGTTTGCTTTATTAATTTTAAAATATTTTGAATATATATTTCACAATTTTCCCTTCTAAAAATACAATCAAGAATAAATTAAAATAGTTATCATGTGTCGTTATAAAAAAAAACAAAATTATTTTAAGAAAATAAAAAATTAACTATTAAAATAAAAAAGAAACACAAACTAAAAAATAATAATTTTTAAAATTAAAATAAAATATTACAATTCTAACAGTATAAGTTTTCATTAATTGTTGTCTTAATAATTATATATTGTGGTATTTTAAAGATGGTGTTGAGAGACTCCTCTAGGAGTTAAGGAACTTCTAAGGAGTTTTTGGGTGGTGGTTTTGAGAATTTCTCTGATCAAATGTTTAATTTGATCTTAATGGAAAAGTATACAAGTTTTCTTTTGAAAATTATGCCTTATAAGCTCATTTCTTTGAGAAATTTAGAAAGATAGAGTTTGTGAGAGATGCTTTAGGACAAAAGGCGACCTTTCTTCCTTTTAATTCCACAAAGGACCTTTGATTCCTTCCTTGGAGATGTTGTTAATCAGTTAAGTTGTGATCTGAAGTTGTTGAAGCTCAGGATTTGTGTTACCGCAAAGTTGTTGATCTACATGTTGATTGATTTCATCTAGAAATGTGGTTGTGTTGTGTGATTCAAATTGAATGATTGGAGTTGGGACTTATTGTTTATGAAGCATGTTTGAGTTGAATTTGTTGGCTTGATCAAATTGGTGGTTGCATATTGGACTGCTGGTGTGAAATGCATTGTGAATGATGTGTATGTATGTTATATTGCATTGCATGTTATGATTTTCTAATTTTCAGGTGGTTTGAGCCAAATTCGTGGTGCACTGAGTGCATAACTTGTTATCGTGTCCGACACGCCATTCAAATTAGGGCCCTCTTTCTCACTCGTGTCGAGTGGATGATTGGTGACGTCAAACATGAAGAGAGAGAATAGCCCATAACTTGATCACATTGGACATGATTTGAATGGCATAAGATATGAGACGAGAGAACTAACTCTGCCTAAACTAATGTCGGGTGCCAATGAAGTGGCTTCAGATATGAAGAGAAAGACTAGTTTATGTTTGGAATGAGGGCAGACATGAGTTTTTCCACATCAGACATGAGATAATATGGTGAAAATGAGTAGGTTAGGTGAATGTATTACATTTTATTTGTTGATAGGTGATCTTTGTTCTATCTATATTTATATGAGATAGTATGTATATATATATATACACACACATATGTGTGTGCGTGTGCGCGCGCGTTTATATTATTGAATCATTGAGGTGTGATGTTTAAAATGCTTTAACATTTAGGCATGATATGTTGATCAACTTAAGATTATAAGCGAGGATGTTTTCAAAAATTGGATGTCTCAATGTGAGGATATTAGTGTGGTACTCTACAAGCGTAGTTTATGTTTGGAATGAGGGCAGACATGAGTTTTTCCACATCAGACATGAGATAATATGGTGAAAATGATGGGTGTGGTTTGTTTTGTAAAATCTTGTTGTTTGATTCATGATATGGTGAAAATGAGTAGGTTAGGTGAATGTATTACATTTTATTTGTTGATAGGTGATCTTTGTTCTATCTATATTGATATGAGATAATATGTATATATATATACATGTGTGTGTGTGTTTGTGCGCGTTTATATTATTGAATCATTGAGGTGTGATGTTGAAAATGCTTTAACATTTAGGCATGATATGTTGATCAACTTAAGATTATAAGCGAGGATGTTTTCAAAAATTGGATGTCTCATTGTGAGGATATTAGTGTGGTACTCTACAAGCATAGTTGTTAAAAACTCTTATTGAATTGTTAACTCTTGAAGTGGATAATTGAGTCTCTTATAGAACCTTAGTTGATGTGGGTCAGGTGCATACCAATTATAAGTGATAATGTTAATCCATGTGTGGATAAGGTTGAGGCATACATGTATAAAGTGATTAACCGAATAAGGTACAAGGTCAGGGGTCTAGTCCCTAACTAAGTACTGGAAGAACATAATATTTGGAAGATAGTTGGCAGGCTAAATCTATAGGGGGTTTAGTTATGTAAGCTAATGTCATGGTAGACTCATACCTAAATTGTTTTACCTGACATGAATACTAAACTTCCTGGTTTAAGTAGCAACATTCAAGAAATCATATTGTTCTTACCTGAGATCGGTCGAGGGGGCGATCTGCTGGGTAAGATTGGTGAACCTCCTTTGCTTGGTACGTAGGCTGCTCCAAGATGGGGTGAGTACCTGCAAAAGAGACTCCGATGTTAAAGTTAGTTCTTGATAGTGTAGATGTCTCGTATTTATAACAGACGTACCTTGGTGATTTTAAGGTTTTTCTCTGTTTGGGCAAGAGTAGGTCCGAAGTTGGCCCAATATTGGCCATAGGCCTTGTCGACCATGGGCGCGCGTGTGTGGTGTGATTAGGGCCGACGTGGAACTTGGTACCTTTAGACGAGCAATACACATATTGTTAGGGATTGGTATCCTAATTTGGTTGTTGACCTATCAGATGTGAAAATGTCGTTTTGGTTCAGTAGAGTTAAGTTATTTAAATTGCTCACCTTTGCAGTTGGAGATATTTATAGGTAAATACGTGACAACATATTAATTGAAGTGTATGCATATGATGTAGTGTGATTTAATGTGGTTCATATGCTTGTTGATTATATGGTTGAATGACATAAGTGTAGAAAATTATGATGTATCATATGTTGTAAGTTGCTCACTTTTGTAAGGTTGTTGAATGACACGTTGAGATATTTGGTGTGTTACTATGTTGTAGACCATGAGGTGATATTTATCCTTTTGTACTCTAGTTTACCCTTCTATGTTTCGTGATGATTAGATTGCGATGATCATATTTACATTGGAATAAGACTTGGATAGACTCAAGGAGTCTGCTGTGGAGAGCCATACTATTGGATGATGGTGTAGGTATAAACTTCTTTTGTATAAGTTATGGTAGAGTTATTTGTCTGACAATCTAAACTTATATATTATAATTTTTGATTCGCGTATATACACATGTATTTATATAGTATTTTAGTTGTTGCAAAAAAATTATTACATATATGTATATATTACCATTATATTTTCTAGGAACTATAAATGTATGAATTCTAAGTAATTGTTTAATTTTTCACTACTAGTTTAGTGTAACACTATGTGAAATCATTACAACATTGTTTTTTAAGAATATTATAATTAATAATATTAACATATTTTTTAAAAATTACATTAAAATAAAAAAATATGAAAAAAATCAAAGAAATTAGTCGAGTGGAAGAAATTTATCAACTTGATAACAAGAGTGTTTGTTGAATCCAAATCTAAAACTTAATAAATATGAGTGTATGTTTTAATCCAAATTTAAAACGTGAACAAGAACAATAAAGAGTAATTTTGGTATTAATTGATGTGATCCTCTTTAAATGTGAATCTTGAGTGTGTATTCAAATATGTCCAAAATGTATCATCTCGTTAAAGAATGATTTAAATGTATTTTTTTTAGTAATTTATTTATTTATTTTATATTAAAAGTGTAAAAACGTTGCAAATGGCTATTATCCCAAAATATGTATTCCATTAAAAGTAAAACACCGATAAAAAAAAAGGCAAAAAAATGTTAATATCTATTTTTTTTATTAAAATTAAATCTTTAATCAGAGTGAAGTATTTATTTTCTTCACTCTTTTATCTTCTTAATATGTATATCTTACGTACATTCCTCACAATTAATAAAAAAAAACATCTCTTACATTTATTTTAAAATATTCTCTTTATCTTTATCTATAATTTTATCAAATGTTTATCTATTTTAATTTTAAAAATATGTATCACAATTTAAATTATTAAACATAATTTATAAACTTAAAATACTTATTCATTGTAATTTTAAGTATAATATATTTTTAAATATGATTTATAAGTATATAAAAATAAATATTTATCCTATACAACTTACATACTAAGTTAAACTAAAAAAAAGTATAACCAATTCTTATTAATCATTTTGGCATACAAAATGATTATTTTATATAATCTTATCATAATAATCAAGTTAAAATTAATTTTTAATACCCATATGGTATCATCAATTAGATTTTAGTTTTTATCATATATTTAATTTAATTCACGCATTTTCCCCCACATCTATGCAAAAACACGAGTAAAACAACGATGTTGTTGGACTAGGAATAGGAAACCCTGGTTTAGTTTGTGTTGAGCGTTTGCGCAGTTTGAAGAAGGTGAAGTCAACACAAGACAAGAGTTAGAGAAGAGATTGTATTTTGTTGTTCTGTTCTTTGCCATGTCGGCGTCGGAGTCGGAGATTCTTCGGGAACTCGATTCACTGAAGGAGGCAAAGACCGCTATCGACAGCAAAATCTCTGCGCTTGAAGATCAACTCAAACAGATTCATCTCCGAAACGACGCCGCATCAAATGGTTCTTCTTCTTCTTCTTCTTCTTCACCGTACTCAACCAATGGATTGACGCAGGACATGATTCACAGATACAGTCGTCACCTCATGCTTCCTTCCTTTGGTGTTCAAGGTCTTCCTCTCCAACATTTTCTATCTACGTAAACCTAATTAAGAAGGAATCAAGATTCATATTCATTGTATATGTATGTCTAAGTATTAATTATAGTTAGTTCATTCCACGTTGCAATTGCTTTATAATAATTACCTTAGTAACAATTAGTAATCTTGTTCAATACACACACACTCTCACTGAAGAGTCCTAAAGCTTGTTAAAAACTCATTAAACCTCAGTAAGTTTTACTATGCATAACTTGATGCGAAGAAACACGCGGTTTATCGTATACGGATATGTGAAGCAAGTTAAAGTATCGGTGATTCATATTTATTGAGTGTGCCCTTTAGAAATCATTATATTGGGCCCTAGAATTAGCTCTAGCGGCCTACTTGTCCTCAATCAGATGGTCCACAACAGCTCAAGCGTCAAGTATGAAAGGCACATGTGCTTGCTCTGTTGGATGATCAACAATTGGATAGTCCATAGCTCCTCAAACATCAAGCTTGAAAGGGATGGGTGCTTCCTCGGTTGGACAATCCACAATTGGATGATCAACCATGTATTTTTTTTAGTGGGAAATATGAACATCAGAACAGGAGCCCTAGTCTGCAAATTTATATTATCTTTTGTTTTAAATTTTTCTTTTCTTGTGTCTATGGGGTGCAGGGCAGGCAAATCTATTGAAGTCATCAATTTTAGTTGTGGGAGCTGGAGGATTAGGTGCTCCTGCATTGTTATACATTGCAGCTTCTGGTGTTGGTAAATATGACACTTTTAATAATCATTGTTGTCTTAGTCTATATATACCCTTCTTGAAGCTTACATTTTAAAAACTATACTCAGGGCGCTTGGGAATTGTTGATCATGATGTGGTTGAGCTCAATAATATGCATAGGCAGGTAGTGTATATTGTCTGTTTTATCCTCCCACCTTCTTTAGGCATAGCAGGTGCAATGTGTACCTTGTGTATTGTTCATGTGTTTGTGTACTGCATCACCCTTTGGGTGTTTGCACTTTTGCGAGTACAAGTTGTTAACATGTGTCTTGCTTCTGTGTTTGTGTTCATTTACTGATTTTTTATTTTATTAACTTCACGTTATTAGTTTCATATCATTCATGCTTTATTTCAGGTTATCCACACGGAAGCGTATGTTGGTAAGCCGAAAGTTGAATCTGCTGCTGCTGCCTGTCGCTCGTATGTTTCTCTGTCACCTACTTTTTATAACATCAAATTTTGTGGACAAACTGAAAATGAACCCTCTTGAGAGTTTTTCTTTTTTCAAATGTTTGTAATATTTGAATCATCACTGTTCTTGGAACTAAGATATTTTGAATTTTAGGATCAACTCCACTATTCAAGTTGTGGAACATCAAGAAGCTTTGCGGACTTCCAATGCTTTGGAAATTCTTAGCAAGTATAATTTCTATAATATGATTGATCTTTAGTTTTGCTTGAGGCCTCTTCTATAATATACTTTTTTTTTTCATTTTGTGAATTTTGTAGATATGATATAATAATAGATGCAACAGATAATGCTCCTACCCGATACATGATCAGTGATTGCTGTGTGGTTCTAGGAAAGGTAAATCTTAATAATTTGATGTATGAATAAATTGTGACCATCTGATTTGATGTCACATGGGCCTTTTCATTTGTTACTTTAATGTTTTTGATTCCTCCATGAAGGAACTTTCTAAGTCAGCATTATTTTTAATGATTGGTTCATTATTGTGCGAGATATCTGCATTAATTCAAGAATAAGGAAGTCATGCATGCTCCTAATTGCATGACACCTACAACAAATTTAAAAGTGTATGTGCCATATGATTTATTAACTTATTATCTCTAAAATCTGTGCAATTTCTCCCACTGGGCATGAAATTTTTATAACTTTAAAAAGTTACAATTATATGGATTTCTTATATTTCATTCAGTTAAACAAATTTTGTTTTGGGTTCTTATATTTATCTTATTTTTTATACTTATGTACATAATATAATTTTTGGGAAAACTTAACTTCTTTTGCAGTTTTTTATATTAATCGTTTTCATGTGATGCAGCCTCTTGTATCAGGAGCTGCATTGGGATTGGAAGGGCAGGTATACGTCTAAATATTATTTTTTTTAACATTTAAGTTGAATAATGCTTCATGGAGCGACTAGTACTCTTGCGGGCTTGATTATATTTATATCACATGATTTGAGGTTTAACTTTGGAAACTTATGCTGCAGCTCACTGTCTACAATTACAATGGTGGTCCTTGCTATCGATGCCTCTTTCCAATTCCACCACCTAGAACAGCTTGCCAAAGTTGTGCTGACGGTGGAGTTCTAGGAGTAGGTAAAATTACCTCTATTTCTGTGAACTGCATCGATTTTACTTTTCATTGCTAGTTTGCAAGACATTTACATAAACACTAACAATGCCAACCATAAGACTAAATTCTTCTGCTCTCCTGTGTTCAACTGTTCATTGCGAAGTTGAGTCGTGGAATCATAGCGATATAAACTTCAATTATTGGTGACAAAAAAAAATGAGTCTTTGATTCCTTTTTGCCAAAACTGCCTTTATAAACGTGGAAGTATCACTATGTCAGCCATCAAGTTTAACTGAAAAGTAAAAGTTTTTTTGTAGATTCACCAGTTTACAGACGACTTAAAAGTTTGTTTAATCTCATGAGTGTCACTATATATCATATTAAGAAGAAAATTTAAAACGGGGAATCAAAAGGTTGATTAAGAATTGACAAGCAATTAGGATGGAATGCATATTGCAATTTCTTATTGTTTACGCAGATTGTACTGTATAGTATGACTTATTGGCTAAAAATTCAATTTGTTTAGAATGCTTAAGTTGTTTTATTTATAATTCATTTAGCTGAACTCTGATTAGTGGATGCTGGACATTTTATCATCCATGTCGGTGATTATGAATATTGATCGTTCAACATGCATTACTTCTCATTAGTACCTTATTATTCTTTTTTTCAGCTTTTACTATTTGTTCTGGTTTTCTGACGTTTGCTCTGATCATTTTCAGTTCCTGGTATAATTGGCTGTCTTCAAGCTCTTGAGGCAATTAAAATTGCAGCTTCTGTTGGTGAACCACTCTCGGGAAGGATGCTTCTCTTGGATGCATTGTCTGGACGGATTCGTATTGTATGTCGAGAACTCCATGTCTATTAGGATTTTACAAGTTGGGCATCAAATAGTTGTTAAAACGTGTATGATTTTATTTTGATAAATTACTTGGATGCAAAGTTAGGGTTTGTGTATCCTAGTGGTATCGGGACTATTAGGATATATGCCTTAAAATTCTCTTTAGAGGAGTTTATTGACATTACTATCGAGTGATTTTCGTACTCCCTAATAACTCTCATGCAGACAAATTATTTTTGAACATGATACTATAGCAATATCTTATTTATTAGTTACTGATTACACGTTTTTATTGCACAGGTCAAAATTAGAGGAAGGTCTATGCACTGTGAAGCTTGTGGAGAAAATGCAACATTTACCCAGCAGCAATTCCGAGAATTTGATTATGAGAAGTTCACTCAGACTCCGTTGTGTGTGGTACGATTTCTTTTATTCATGCATTTCACCTCTGTATTTAAATGAAATTGTTTCAGGTTTAGTTAGTGTACATTTTTCATGTCACTTTGTATTGGATGAGATTGCTGGAGATTAAAGTCCTCTCAAAAAAGACTACAAAATTGTCTTCCAGTATATTATTTTGAGATTTTCATTCCCATTAATGCATTCCTTGCATATGCAGGCTCCTGTGAAGTTAAATCTGCTTCCCAGTGAATCAAGAATCAGCAGCAAGGAGTACAGTGAAATAATTCTCAAGAAGGAACCACATGTGCTGGTTGATGTTAGACCAGCTCACCATTTCAAGATTGTATCTCTACCGAAGTCCCTGAACATTCCCCTGTCAACATTAGAGGCTAGGTTGCCTGAAGTATCATCAGCTTTGAAGAAAGAGGAAGAGGACAGCGGTGTGGTTTCTGGATCAAGTGCACAATTGTATGTAGTATGCAGAAGGGGAAATGATTCTCAAAGGGCTGTTCAGTATCTTCACAAATTGGGTTTCACTTCTGCTAAGGATATCGTTGGGGGCATAGAATCATGGGCCCACAATGTGGATCCTAAGTTCCCTACATATTAGAAAACTAGTTTGTCCAAAAAAAAAAAAAAAAGAAGACTATTGATATACCTTAATCAAGTTATACTCCTGACATGAAATTATTTCTTTTGATATTTTATCAGTGATGAGCCTTTCATTTTCCACATCTATTTATATTATTATTCACGTTACTTTTTTTTTTGGGTAGTCTATTGATGTTATTTTTGGCCTTGAATTGTTATAGAGAAATTGTAGCCTATTCATTTTTATTTGTTTCTTTGCATTGGGTACAGTTTAGAAATCCACGGGTTATTCGCACTTGTCGCTTCAGTTGCCAGTACTAGTTACTTTCCGTGATCAAATGATTTTGCTGAGACAATAAGTGTATGTTTGGATTTTCGTTTGAGAAGTTTCAAACGGACAATCCCAATTTCCAAAGCACAAAACGGAGAAGCAAGTGTGAGGTATCTTTTAGACGAATGTACGTTCACGTTTAGACGAATGTTTATACAAACACACCCTAACATCATATTGCTGAGACAATTCACGTTGTTGCTACAGTTGCTAGCAATGGTTACTTTCCTTCATCAAATGATATTTGCTGAGACAATAATATCATTACGTATAAGGAGTTACCAAATATTATGTATTCTAAAATAGTGTATAAGGTCTATCTACTTTTTGGTCAGTACAGTTCAAGGTCTAAGGTGGTTCCAAAACATAGTGGGCCACTTCGGGCCTAGCGTGTCTTAGGCTAATATTGTGGTAGCTTTACCCAACTCAATGTGATATGTGAGCTGAAGATTAGGTGGTTATTGATCTGTCGTTTTTATTGAATATAGTAAATACAAACAAAAATTGCACTTCCCTATGTTTTGGTGGAAAGAGAGTAAGCAAATGGAGAAAAGAGAAAGAGGATGATATTCTTAAATTTCTACAATTTAGTAGAGAAATAGGAAGAAATTTTTTGTGGGTTTTGGAACATTGACAAAACAAGCGATTCTTAACATTCTTTCAATGTTGATTTTCAATCAAAATTGATGTATCACTTCTACAATCTATTTTGATAATTAATATAAATATTTATTATACCAATTATCGAAGTAATATTTCAATTTTTATTAGAAAATATCATGAAAATCACTTAAAAACTACATCTAACTTGTCTTAAAAACATTTCACCCCTAAAATGCCATGAAATAGGAGGGAAAGCACTTTATTTTTTTTAAAATAATTTGTTTTAACAACATAAAAATTAATAAAAAAGTTAAAAAATATAATAATAATAATTACTTTTTCAAGTTAAGTTTATTTTTTTTAATAAATGTAAATTATTCCTATCGAGTCTTCTAAATATATTTCTTTTTTTTCTTTTAATAATTTGTTTTTCTTCTATTTTTTTTAATTTCACTTATAATATTAGAAAACCATCCATGTCATTGTCAACAAATTGCCCAATTTTGGGTTGGGTTAAATCGTGTTTTTTTTTAAGAAAAAAACTTTGGTCTCTCTCTTTCTCTCTCTTTAAACATGGTCCATATATTTTTAAAGGTATTTAGATAAGAAGTTTATTTTCAAGGTAATTTAATTGGATAAGAAGTTTGTTTCTTCAATGTAATTTAATTGGATATGAAGTTTGTTTTCAAGGTAATTTAGTTGGATATGAAGCTTATTTTTCAAGGTAATTTAATTGTATAAGAAGTTAATTTTTTCAAGTTATTTGGATAGGTTTCTATCATCGCTGCTGAAGGAAAGAGACATCTAGATTGAAAGGTAATGTTGATATTACAAATCTAGTATTTACGAGAAAAGTGTCTATTTTATATAACTAAATTTTATAATAAACAATTGGATGTATAAATTATGTTATAATTAATATTTATAATAAACAAATATTTTTGAACATATAGATTGTAATTTAGATTTATGAAAATTAATATATTATGATATAAGCTTATTTTTAATTATTTAAAAAATATTAAAATTCAATTAGAAAAAAAGATAAAAAATAGATTAAACAAAACCTTATAATATATTCTCATTTAAAGATTAACTCCTAAAACATTATTATTTAATATAGTTATTAAAAAAATCAAGCAAAAGTGGAGAAACAAAGGCATTAAAGTTGGAACGTGTGGACATGGGTGACAGTGAGTTCTTACGCCCGAAGTGTTATTTTAATAAATTAAAAACGTATGAAGTTGATAACACTAGTTCGTTGGAAACCTTTACCTTGTGATATTCGATTTGTAACTTAATGAAACTACTGTCATGATAATTTCTAAACAATCCGTGGCATAACATGGATTTTCGTAAAACTTGACCATGCAACTCATCAAATAGTGTTTAAAAAATAATTGTACATCATTTTTTAAGGTGACCTCAGTTTATATCAGCTATTAGTTACATATATTAGTTAGAGAACACATGGCTTCTCTGCTGCTGATTATGTGCTCTGTGATTGATAGAACAAGAAAACTTGGAACACATGGCATCCCTATTTTGCTCTTAACCAAAGCTACATTCTGACTTGAACAAATGCTCAAGGCATCCAAGTCAACTTATTTATTCGTACTTGGTTGTCATAAAATGGATAAAAGATACGAGGATCTTTCAAACGAAGACTTTAGCTTTCAGGAATGGAAGTATAGTTCAAATACGTAACACAGTCTCACGGAAGTGCAGATCCTCATCTCAGTTAGTTTTGAGTTTTAGGCTATTTTTAGTTACACAAATTTGTAACTTCTGTTAATAGGTTTCAAATAGTGTTTATATGTTTGACAATTTTTTTTCCTTTCCGTTGGGAAGCAAAAGTTAAAAAGATATTACTTTTTATTTAAAAGTTGATTTGAAAAGTTAAATTCAATTCAACTTAACTTTCTAACTATAATTCAAATTCACACATTTAGTAGTTCTAAGAGGAACCATTGTGCATTTGCCTTCTACAGTTTCAATTTACTCATTTTATTAGTGGAATTAGATCGTTTCAGCAGAGTTGAAGCCATAATTTGATGATATCCAATTTATTACGTTAGGACACATGCAACATGGTCAGTTTCTTGTTATGGATGTTACAAACTTCAAGGTGATGATAATTTAGGTTGGTTTATATTTTAATCTGGTGACCGCGGCTTGCACAGAAGTGAGAAAAAAAAAATTGAATTTCAAGGAAATTTCACTCATGTAATAAGAAAATTTTATTCCCCTCTCTCTCTATCTGTATTTCTCATGCCGACAAATAGACAAACTGTGCATCGGAAACACAGTAGAAACATGAGAAACCACGTCTGTTAACTAAAAGACGCAGAAGCAACGCCTATTTAGTTTGATACCAAACATGCTAAAAGGCAAGAAAAGGAAACGAAGAAAACAACTGAAAATATTTGACATTAGATAATCCCATTCACTTCCAAAAGTGAATGCACCACCTCTACCAGCCCAGAAGCAAAACCTTCAAGAGAGCCATTCTAATATAAAGACCATTCTTTGCCTGCCTAAAATAAGCAGCTCTTGGATCACTATCAACATCCACAGTAATCTGCATGAAATCAAGGGACCAATTTAGTTCATAACGAGAGTACATAGATCACATTACATGGCAATATCTGTTTACCTCATCAAGCCTTGGAAGAGGGTGCATAACCACAGCATGTTTTTGCATCACCTTTAGAACATCTTGATTTACAATATACTTGCCTCTTGCCGCCTCGTAAAGATCAATTTTCTCTCCAAATCTTTCTTTCTGAATGCGAGTTTGATAAACAACATCACACTTAGAAGCCACCTCCATCAAATCAGAACTTTCTTCCCACTCCACACCCTTTGATGTCAGATATTCTTTTATGTCATCCTATAAAAGAAAAAAGAGAAGATCCATAACACATTTGGTCATGTAACTTCTCAACATTGTATCCAATTCATGAAATCATAACTAGTGTTTGCAACAGTTACCTTCATTTTAACCACCTCAGGAGAGACAAAATAAATTTTCACATCCTCATATTTGGCTAGTAAGTATGCAAGAGAGCGAACTGTCCTCCCGTTAGCAAGGTCTCCTACAAGCCCAACTCTAATTCCATCCAATTTTCCTATCTCTCTTTCAATGGTATAAACATCAAGCAGTGCCTGAGAAGTTTGAAAAAGCAAATTAGTTTTGAAACACAAAAAATAATACCATCCATTTACCATTCAAATTATTGTAAACATAGAATGCATGAGCAATAAATAAAAAGTCCCATTCATTCCACTTTGTCTGTATCTTCTTGCTCTACTAGAAAAACACTAAAAAAGAAACAAAGATGGAATCATCTAGTCAAGTGTAAATAAAGTATAAAAGAAGGTATGTACCTAAAGAGTAAAGTATACTTGAAGGAACTTTTAGGTGGAAAAGTCCATAATATGTTATTAAAAACTTATAATTAGCTAGGAAACTATTGTGTACTCAAGATATACCCTTGAAGTTACCATCTCAATCCTTGATATCAACCATTTCACTAGAAAAATGGAAACATGTATTTTAGATGTATACTTCAAACGGTTTTTGCTTACTAATCTGGCATTGTACATCCATCGCAATTTTTGCCTATTGAGAATTTCTTTTCCCCAGGTAAGAGAAAGGTGTAATTTCTTGAATGGAAGTCTTAAATTATGACTCACAATGAATTAATTTTACACCGAGAGCATCTCTAAGGAGAAGTTGTGGACTTTTCTATTTCAAATACCATGTGACAGCCAACGGCAGAATAAGGGGGGGTCTGTTTTAAAGTTTCTGAGACAATGTAATACACTTTACAGAAAACATGTAGCCTTTTCTTAAGAAATTTAATAGTGAGTAACAAGTCTTGGAAAAAAACTTGTTAAATGAATTATATAGTTATGTTTCCATGAAATAACTAAGCAGAAAAAGGTTATCAATCACAGAGCAATGCTGATTAATGGTTAAAAAAAAAGTGGCTTGTAAAGCAAATGAAAATGAAATGTGCAATTTCTGCAGTCAAAAAGTACTCTATCCATGTAGGTTGTAGCTCAGGGCAATAGACTCAAGACTACTTGGAAAAATATGATAATGGGTCTATTTGGATAAACTTATCTAAAAACACTTATAAATGATAAAAAATAGGGGAAAAAATGAAATAAGTTTCCATAAGCTAAAATTAGCTCATGCTAGCTTAAGCATAAGTTAATTTGTAGAAATTTTCTACTATTAGCTTCACCAAAATCTTTTTTCATTTTTTTAACTTATGCGTAAGTTAGTTCTAGAAAACCTATTTTAATTTTTCTTCCTATTTTTTTTCTCTGAAGTACTCATAGAGAAGTTTATCTAAACAGACCCACTGTCTAGTTGACATTCTTTGTGAAGCATAGGATTTCTAAACTGTACTTATTGTGGCAAATTCCTCATACTTGTGTGGGATGCTGTCCAGGGCCATCCCCTGCATTGATTACAGGAATGCTAGCAGTTGCTGCTGCTCGTCTGGCAGCACCACTTTCAAAGTGCCTCATCACAATTATATCAGAGTAACCTTCAACCGTTCTTATAGTATCTGCAAGAAATAAAGTTCCTTAAAACTCCAATTTTAGATAGAACAATGAAATGCACCCACCAACAAAACATTGCATGACATACCTTCAAGCGTCTCTCCCTTAGCAGCAGATGAAAACTCCCTCGCATTCTCAGTTGTGAGAACGTCCCCACCCAATCTTTTCATGGCAGACTCAAATGAAAGCCTAGTTCTGGTGGATGGCTCATAGAACAAGGTAGCCATGAGGTAACCCTTCAGCATTTGGCTCCCAGATGAGTTGCCTTCAATGGTCTCCATGCTCCTTGCAACTTCAAATATGGCATTCAGAGTCTCTCTGTCAAATTGCTGAGCCTCAATCACATCATCAAGTTGAAATTTTTGCCCCACAGAGAAGGAGGGTGCTGCAGTTTCAACTTGAACAGCCCCTGCCCTCCACACAATCCCATCACCTTTGTGTGAAAGTTTAGATTTTTCCAAGATTCCTGAATGCCCAAATGGTGTTTTTGACTTCAAATGACTCCATGGCTGATTGAGCAAATAGCATGCAGAGGATTTTGCAGCCAACTTGGGATGAGACACGCCCACATGCACAGAGCAGGAGAATAACAAAGAAGCAGCACTCATTGTGTTCTATTGAAGTGGCTACACAACACAAAGGACTTATATATTAACAAAAAAGCACAAAAATAACCATTAATTGCAAACTCAAATTTCAACTCTAAATATAGGAAGCAAAAGGGCATGAAAGTAACTTAAAAAAAAACAAAATTAAACTGATTTGAGTGGAATCACTTTTTTCTATGCCAAGAAACAAGAGGAATCACTTGAGTATAAAAGGTATATATGCTTAAAAACCACGCTTCGGAAGAGACGGCAGAAGAATCGAGACAAAAAAAAACTATTGAAGATCATACGAACGAGAAAATAAACAAACAAACAAACAGTGTAAATATGAGGAATCGAACAGAGATTTTATTAAAATAACAGTGAAGAGTTATGAGTATGAAATAGAATACCGTGAAGATTGTTTGTGGGAAATGGGTAGTTTTAATTTTTATTTAGATTAGAAGGGAGACAACGGCTACAAGACAGCGTTTGCAGCATGCAAGAAGAAAATGTAAGAGAGGAGACGACCTTGTTTATTTAAAAGTAAAGTTTTGTTTACAATAATGGGCCACCATTTGTTAGGTCCAATATGTCCATCCTCTTTCTTATGGGCCACCATTTGTTAGGTCCAATATGTCCATCCCCTTTCTTATGGGCCACCCTACTGGAGAATGTTATCCTTAACCATACCCACCTTTTTCCCCCGCAAATAGGGTGCAAATGGAAACACATGTCTATTGTGTAAGATATTCAACAAAGTTATGTATTTTAAATTAAATATACACGAAACACGTTATTACACTGGTTTTAATTAAATACACACAATAAAATATTTTTTCGTTGTGTATTTCAACATATACCCAATAAAAACATATTTTTGTTGTGCATCACAATAGATATATAATAAAAATATTTTTTCATTGTGTATGTCGAAGTTGAACCATTATATATATATATATATATATA